AAATTCTTCAACCCTATTCATTGTCGCCAGGTGGCCACACTCCACAACAACATACCCATGTTCTGCTTGCTCTCAGGCCCTCTCCCAGGGGGCCCTCAGACACCCATCGTTTCCCCACTTACCAGGCCAGAGGACAGGCTCCCAGGGCAAAGACTGGCAGGTCAGCGTCACACACAGGGCCCCCTGTAAGGCATTTCAAATATCTACTAACCTTTGTAGACACTTTCTCGGGTGAGTAGAGGCCTTTCCCCGCCACCTCAAAAAAGGCTACGGAGGTAGTTACGGGCCTCGCTGAACATCTCGTCCCCAGGCTCTGGCCTCCCCACCTCCCTGCAGTTGGATAATGGTCCAGCCTTCATCTCTAAAGTCACCCAGGGGTTGCCACTGCCCCCCAGATCCGCCGGAGCCTGCCTATCCCTTGTCATCCTCAATCCTGAAACAACACCTCACTAGATAAGTCTGGAGGTCTGAGAAACCTGGATCACCCCACTTCCCTTAGCCCTCATTTGCATTCCAGCAACCCCTCACGCCCCCACATGCTCAGCCCCTTGGAGCTTATGTGGGGCAGACCCTTCCTACTTGGAAACATCCCAAATGCCTCTCGCCCTTTGGGAGATTATCTTCCCACCCTCAACCTCACTGGCCACCCCCTTTGGCTGCATGCCGACCAGTTCTCCCCAGGCCTCCCGCTGAGTCTCCCCTTGATCCTCCACTAGAGCTGGGAGACTGGGTATTCCTCCAGGGCATCCTGCAGCACAGGAAAGTTAAAGCCGAAGTGGACAGGCCCACACCAGGGACTACTGACCACACCGACAGTGGCCAGGCTACGGGGATATCCATCCGGGGTCCACTCCTCCAAGTTGAAGCCAGCCCCTGCACCCAGACTCCACCGCCAATCGGCTTGTATCCGAGCATCGGCCTCAGACCAACTTGCCTCAAACTTACAAAAATCCCTAAGGAACTGTGAGCCCCAGACCCTTACACTAATCCCCTATGAGCCAGGCTTCCCCCATCACCCCTCACTGTCCTATTTATGCTGGTCCCTGTCTCTTGGCCCCCAACCCAGCCAGCCCCCTCCCTACCTAACGACCTACAGCAGAACAATTCTATGATCTTATCCTACCCTTACTCAAAGAAGTCCCTTCTCTTCGTCCCAGTACTGAGACACAGTGACTGACTTTCTTGTGGGATTGTTATCTTCAGGGAGATTTCATAGACTTTTCCTGGGATCAAATAACCTCCTGGCTAGAAGCCAACTCTGGGGATTAATTTAACAAGAATTTAGCCTGGGAGGCCCTTACTCACCCTTTATTCTGGCCAGTACTCCTCGGAATCTCCCTTGTCACTATTAATTTTTTAATATGCCACTGTCTTGTACCATCTGGTTGGAATTACCAGATGTTAGAGTCTGTGGGGAAGCTCGGGACTGGGTTGGAAGATCTGTGAGGAGGATTCTCTGAAAGGTCAGGGGCCTCTGAGGGGACCTTGCCGAAGGCGGCAGCCCCTACCTTGACTTTTCCAAACAAGTCCGATCCCCCTGGGTGTTTTGCTAGAATCTCTATGTTTAGTCTTTAAAGACCTGACCTTGTAGAACAGTGATGGCGAACCTATGACACGCGTGTCAGAGGTGACACGCGAACTCATTTTTTTGGTTGATTTTTCTTTGTTAAATGGCATTTAAATATATAAAATAAATATCAAAAATATAAGTCTTTGTTTTACTATGGTTGCAAATATCAAAAAATTTCTATATGTGACACGGCACCAGAGTTAAGTTAGGGTTTTTCAAAATGCTGACACACCGAACTCAAAAGGTTCGCCATCACTGTTGTAGAAGCATATACTTTCTCAAGGATACTTGCCCTGCTGATTGTATCTAGAGGTTAATTTGAGTTCAAGCTGTTGTTATAATAAAAAGTCAACGAGGCAGGGGAACAGGAGTGCTTTTACTTCTAAAGCAAAACAGTCCCTTAGCCTCCCTTTCACAGAAACCTGTATTGGAGTAATCTGTTCATCCGTCGCTCAGCGTCTGCTGGTCAGCCCCGGCAAGAGTTTACAATGACCTCCCCACAAGCCTTCTCTCCCTCTTATTGTGTAGAAGGTCTACCCCATACCTTTTAAACATCTCCTGCCCTGGCCAGTTTGGCTCTGTGGATAGAGTGTTGGCCAGTGGACCAAAGGGTCCCGGGTTCAATTCTGGTCAAGGGCACATACCTCAGTTCCAGGCTCCTCCCCTGCCCAGGCCCTTGTCAGGGCTCATGCAGGAGGCAACCAACCAATATGTTTCTCTCACATCAATGTTTTTCTCTGCCTTTCCCTCTCTCTTCCACTCTCTCTAAAAGATGAATGGAAAAATATCCTCGGGTGAGGCTAAAAAAAAAAAATCTCCTAAGTCCTCACTATCTCTCTCAAACCCTCGACCTAACACATCTCCTCACCACCACCAACCCCACTCTCTCGCAGGACTGCTGGCTCTGTCTTCCCCTCTCATCAACTAGCTACACGGCAGCCCCAACCTCCTTACACCCATGGGCCAACTCCAGTCTGTCCTTCCACTATAAGACACATGGAGGGCTCCCCATTCCAACTCATGTGCGTGGATGAACTTTATATTCTCCAGACCACAGAAATGACAAGAGGAACACTCACAGGCGGAGCTGTTCAATTACTCCAGTCACATTTAAACAACATAACTGAACACTTACCCAACAAAATCCCCATCTTAGGATCAGGAACAACCAACACTGTCGTAGCGCTGTGGTTGGCAAACCGCGGCTCTCGGGCCACATGAGGCTTTTGGGCCCCTTCAGTGTGGCTCTTCCATAAAATACCACGTGCGGGCGCACACGTACAGTGCGATTGAAACTTCGTCGCCCATGCACAGAAGTCGGTATTTTGTGGAGGAACCACACTGAAGGGGCCAAAGAGCTGCATGTGGCTCGCGAGCTGCAGTTTGCCGACCATAGACCTAGCGTATCAGGCACCTCTTTGCATCAACAGAACACTCCCTGCAGGAAAGGCTTAGGACATCTTGATCAATGCTTATGCAACTTTACTCTCAACCTCCAATCTTCCTCTGACTGGGCTAACTATTTCCTCACTCAAACAGTCCTTTTTCTGAAACCCGTTCGTTTCTCAGCCTGGCCCATCATCTCAGAGACCTTCCCAATGACCCATACCTCCCAGTTCTGTTTAGGTCCACCCCTTTCCTACATTGGCTATTTCCCATGGCAGAGTTGCAATTCACAATTACAGTCTAACTGCAGCCAACTCCCCTCCCATGGTCTCACACATTCTGAATTTGGGGTGGAGACTGAGAGGAAATATATATTTTTGGTGAACACCACCACTGGGGGCACCCAGGTCGTTCCCAAAGGCCTTTTTCAGCCCCTTACAGGGGCAACCTTAGCTGGAATTTTCTCTGTTTGGGAAAATGAGAACAACAAGGTCACTTACCTCTTCACTATTGAGAACACTTTCTGCTTAGAAAATCAGGGGATTTTCTTTCTGTGTAGCACCAATACCTATCTCTGTCTCCCAGCCAACTGGACTAGGACCTGCACCCTAATGTATCTCACACCGAAATAGACATTGCCCTAATAATCAGTCCTTCAAGGCTCCTCTCACTGCTTATGCTCAGACCAGAGAGAGGAGTATTGCACTCCTTCACCTCCTTGCTGGCCTGGGAATGGCCACAGGCCTAGGCACTGGGGTAGGGGGACTAGCAACCTCCCTTTCCTACTATCAGAGCCTATCCAAAGACAGAATAGCTTAGAGGAGTGAGGACAAAAGGGGCCACATGCTAACCTGACAAGCTCAGGGGAGGCCTGCGTGGCAGTCTTGCAAACTCAGAGACCTAAAGTCACCACAAAGGATGGTCTGAAATTAAACTTTAACTAAAAGCAGCGATGGTGGGTAGTTACATCCTAGGCCGGTATCTTCACTGACAAGATCAACCTTTACCTTAACTGAGCCTGTCTGTCTTTTTGCATCTATGATAATATATCCTTGAAATGTGTGGGTAACTTGTAACTTCCCTTTTTCCGGACCCCTTGGGGCACAACCTAATGTGCCTGGGCGCCAGGGCAGAT